ACTTTCCTTATGTTACACTTCTACACTCCCCCTCAAGTTGGGCATAGATATTGTACATGCACAGCTTGTGACTCAGTTCTTCAAAGTTGGTTCGTGGAAGAGCTTTAGTCAATATATCAGCCGTCTGGGATCTTGTAGGAGTATAGATCAACTGTACAATTGCCTTCTCAATTTTCTCTGAGATGAAATGTCGATCTATCTCAATATGTTTCGTCCTATCATGATGCACCGGATTCTTTGCAATGCTTATGGCAGCTTGATTGTCGCAGAACATCTTGATTGGTTTCGTAATAGGTATTTTCAACTCACTTAGTAGTTTTTGTATCCATATTCCTTCGCAAATACCAAGAGCTAGAGATCTAAACTCAGCTTCTGCACTACTTCTTGAGACCACTGGCTGTTTCTTACTTTTCCAAGTCACGAGATTTCCCCATACATAAGAACAATAACCAGATGTTGACCGCCTGTCTAATACATCTCCTGCCCAATCTGCATCTGAGAAAACTTCAACATCTCTTGTATCATTCTTTTTGTATAACAGTCCCTTGCCTGGGGTCATCTTCAAATATCGTAAGATTCTATTCAGAGCTTCCATGTGTTCTTCTGTTGGGTTGTTCATAAATTGACTCAAAACACTAACAGAGAATCCAATGTCAGGTCGGGTATGAGAAAGATAGATGAGACGTCCTACAAGTCTCTGGTATCTCCCTTTGTCCACTGGTGCCCTATCGTTCTCAGTTCCTATCTTTTTGGTTGAATCCATTGGAGCGTCTGCAGGTTTACATCCTAGCATACCTGTTTCTTTTAGTAAGTCTAGCACATACTTACGTTGTGATACAAATATGCCTTTCTTAGATCGAGCCACCTCCATGCCAAGAAAGTATCTGAGTTGACCGAGGTCTTTGATTTCAAATTCTTTTGCTAAGTGCTTCTTCATTTCCAATAGTTCCTCTTCATGATCACCTGTTAGGATTATGTCATCCACATACACTATCAAGATTGCTATTCTCTTTTCTGAAGAGAACTTCACGAATAGTGTGTGATCTGCTTGACATTGAGTATATCCCTGCTTAGTTACTGATTTTGTAAACCTGTCAAACCATGCACGAGGTGATTGTTTGAGTCCATACAGTGATTTCTTAAGTTTGCACACCCTATTGTGACTGAAAGAGGCTTCTAGTCCTGGTGGTATCTCCATATATACTTCTTCCTCCAAGTTACCATTCAGAAAAGCATTTTTGACATCCAATTGACGTAGTGGCCAATCTTAATTTGCTGCAAGTGAGAAGAGAACTCGAATGGTGTTGAGTTTGGCCACTGGAGCAAATGTTTCTTGATAGTCTATTCCATATGACTGAGTGAATCCTTTGGCAACAAGGCGAGCTTTTAACCTCTCAATGCTTCCATTAGCCTTATGTTTGACTGTAAAGATCCACTTACACCCGACTGGTTTCTTTCCAGGTGGAAGATTACAGATTACCCATGTGCCATTATTTTCCAAGGCTTTGATTTCTTCATAAACTGCTTTTCTCCATTCTGGATTTTCAAGAGCCTCCTGAATAGTCTTAGGAACTTGCACACTATCAAGTGTCGAAACAAAAGTTTTGTAGGATGGTGATAATCCTTCATATGTAATAAATCTGCAAATAGGATGTTTTGTGCAAGTTCTAACACTCTTTCTTAAAGCAATTGGAATGTTCAAGTCATCTGTAACTGGCACTTTCTTTTCTTGATCAGTGTGTCCCTTACCTGAGTGAATTTGAGCAGGAATTGGACTCGGTTGAGATTCTTGGTCACATGTGAGAGGACCTTGCTCTATTGTTTTCTCAGGCATTTTCTTCCTAGCATAGACACGCAACTCATGATTTGCAGTTTGTGGTGTTTCAGAGTGATCTTGGATCGGAGGGTGTGGTGGAGTAGTAGGAAGATGATTTTCAGGTTCAGATTGTGATGGTTCAGATATAGAATGTTGGATTGGAGTAGGAAATTGACTGACACTTGGAGTAGGAAGTTGAGGGTGTAATGGTAAGTTGTCCTCATGATCAAGGTTGAGTGTTTCCCAAAACTGATGTGCCTTCATATTCTCCCCCTGCATGTTGGTTTTATGGTAGTAGGCTTGATTTTCCAAGAATGTGACATCCATAGAGTTGTATACTTTTTGGGTGATAGGAGAGTAGCACTTATAACCTCTTTGGTATGAAGAGTATCCTATGAAGATACATTTGATGGATTTGGGATCTAATTTGCTACGTTGTTTTTGATGTATGTGTACAAACGCAGAACACCCAAATATTTTTGGCTCCAATGATGAGATGATTTTTGTATTGGGAAAGTTTTGGAGGAGGGATTGACAAGGAGTTTGGAATTTAAGTATTCTTGATGGCATTCTATTGATGAGGTATGTGGCTGTGAGTACAGCTTCCCCCCAAAATTGTTTGGGAATATGAGTGGAAAACATGAGAGATCTAGCTACCTCTAGTAAATGTCGGTTTTTCCTTTCTGCAACCCCATTTTGTTGGGGGGTGTCAATGCAGGAACTTATGTGAACTATTCCCCGACTTAAGAGATAACTACTCAAAGCAGAAGAGAAGTATTCTTTGGCATTATCAGTTTTGAGAACTTTGATTTCGGTCTGGAATTGATTTTGAATCATGGAATTGAAGTTTTGAAAAATTTGGTTAACTTCAGATTTTTCTTTCATTAGGAATACCCAGGTCAATCTTGTGTGATCATCAATAAATGAGACAAACCAACGTGCTCCTGTTATATTTTTTACCCTTGAGGGACCCCACACATCACTATGAACCATAGCAAATGGTTGAGATGGTGTATATGAATGACTGGGGTAATTACCTCGAGTATGTTTTGCAAGTTGGCATATTTCACAACTGAAATGCATTGGATTTTTATTGATGAATAATGCAGGAAACAATTTTTCAAGATACATGAAATTTGGATGACCAAGACGAAAATGCCATAACATGACTTCATCTTCTTTATTGATAAGGGAATTTAAAGTTGACTGACTCTTAAATGAAACACAACTTGCATTTTGAGCTTGCCTTCTTAGAGGAGAATTGCCATTAAGAATATAGAGTCCAGAACACATCTCAGCACAGCCAATCATCCTCCCCGAATCCAATTTCTGTAATTCACACAAGTTTGAGAAAAATTTAGCTTCACACTTGAGATCATGGGTTAGTTTGCTGATTGATAGTAAATTACAGTCCAAGTTAGGGACATGTAAAACAGAGTTTAAGTTCAGCTCATCTGTAACCCTGATTGAGCCTATTCCAGCAACATTGGATAAAGATCCATCAGCAATCCGAACTGTGTATTTTTCATTACAGGGGCTGTATTCATGAAACAGGTTTCCATCTCCAGTCATATGGTTTGAGGCTCCTGAATTGATAATCCATGGATTGAGCCCTCTTTTATTTACTGTAAAAGCAGTTGAAACATTACCTCTTTGCGCTAGCATGCTGGTTGCAGAGGTTGAATTACTGGGCTGAGATAGGTTGCTTTGGCTTAGGATTTTCTGGAGCATTTCAAGCTGTTCTTTGGTGAAGGGGCTGGCCTCGGCTGAGGTAGGTTTTTCTCCTGTGG